ATATATATATTATAGAAATATATTACAGAAATAAGCACATAGGGCATATAATATTACACATTCATAAACTCGATATAATACAAATATATAATAAAGATATTAAATCCGTTTTTAAAAAAAACATGTAAAGCATGAGAGACAAAATAATGTATTATTTATAGTTTATTATTTATACTTTCTGTTTCTATTTGTTGTTTAAAAACACATGCAAACTACAATTCTAATTAAGCCACTGAATGTTCAATGAAAATAAACTAAAATCAGAGTCAGGGCAACTGATTTGCTGAGATTAAATAAACATCTGTGAATGCGGAGGATCATTTTTAGATGCTTAGATTAACAGTGGTTCCCAACCCTGGTCCTTGAGGCACCCCAACACTGCACATTTTGCATGTCTCCTTTCTATGATGCACCAATTTCAGGTCTTGGAGTAATGAGCTGATGACCTGAATCAGGTGTGTTTGATTAAGGAGACAAAACGTGCTGACCTGAATCAGGTGTGTTTGATTAAGGAGACATGCAAAACGTGCAGTGTTGGGGTGCCTCAATGACCAGGGTTGGGAACCACAGGTTTAGAACACATTTTCTGGTTGCTATTTTTATTTCCACCACTAGGTGGAGACGCGTTTCCACTTTTAAAACTACTCATTCTATACATCTTATATATCTGAGCACTAAATCATGAACACACTCACATACACACTATATAGCCATCACACTTTCACTTCTGTAGAAGCAGTGAATATCTATAACGGCCTATTAGCATCATATCATTAATTATATAGCAAAGAAGTTCAGTTAGCTCATATTAATTTGCACGTCCCTTTTTTAAGAGACTTATCTCCACAATTTAGGAAACAACTTCAAATGTTTAACTGATGATGTTGTTTTTACACTAGTAACAGTTCAAACAAATATGTGAATAGTATGTTAATGTATTAGAACTGCGCTCGTGCCCAGGTGAAGGACACATGTGCAAACCCTTCATCATCTTCATCATCCTTCAGTCTGAATCTCATTAGAGTCTCACAGCCTGCAGAGCATCACAGCAGCCGTCTGCATGCACACGAGCCCGTCGACATGAGATCTCACTGCATCTGCATGGTAACAAAACTGTTAGAAGAATGTGAAGAGGTAGAGAAGTTGTTTGGAGTGAAGCACAGATGCTGAATAGTCTGTGTGCTGCTGTTTCAGGTGTGTTTTGTGCTGTGTGTGTTTGGATGGCATGATCTGGATAACAGTGAATATGACTGCTGGCCGCTGGAAAAACCAGATGAACTCAACATGATCGACTGCGGAGGTGCGTCTCACTTTGAAACTGTTTTCACTTGGAAATTACTAGGAAACTTCATGTAATTAAATGGCAAAATGGCATGTAACACATTTGAATTAAACACTATATTATAAAGCAGAACACCTGAAATAGTTTTTTTTTTTTTTGTAAAATGCGCAGTAATCTTTGTTTTATCTCAACTATTTAAAAAACTGAGAAACCTCATTGTTTTACTGTATAGAGTTTTAAAATTAAGATTGTTAAATGTTTTTGCCGAAGCTGGTATAAATTCTCCAAAGTACTTAAAACTAGACATATTTTCTTTTGCAACAAATATTGTTGCACAATATAGCACATTCCTGATTAATTTAATGATTGACTAATGATTATGGGGAATGATCATGTCCTGCAGCTTTGATTCATTATTATTATTATTATTATTATTATTATTATTTATCACAGGATTCACAGATGAATAGAACGTTAAAAAGAACAGCATTTGTTTGAAATAGAAATCTTTTTTTTTTCATTATAAATGTCTTTACTGTCACTTTCAGCACATCAGTTTTCAACATTGATAATAATCAGAAATGTTTCTCGAGCAGCAAATCAGCATATTAGAATGATTTCTGAAGATCATGTGACACTGAAGACTGGAGTAATGATGCTGAAAATACAGCTGCGCATCACAGAAATAAATTACAGTTTAACAGATATTCACATAGAAACTGTATTTTACATTTGTTTTTGAATAAATAAATGCAGCCTTGCTGAGCAGAAGAGACCTTTTACGAAAAAACATAAATCTTAATCCAATTTGTGTGTGTGCGTGTGTGCGTGCGTCCGTGTGAGTGTGTGTGTGTGTGTGTGTGTGTGCGTGCTTGTGTGTGTATGTCCATGTGTGAGTGTGTGTATGTCCGTGTGTGTGTGTGTGTGTGTGTGTGTGTGCAGGTCTAGAGATGGCTTGGGTCCTGCGTCCTCCAGAGAAGGTTCTGAGTGGTGAGGATTTCAGTGTCATTTACTCTGTGACCGTCAGAGAGGAGTTTTACCAGTGGGCCATCGACAATGACATCTTCATTCACCGGTATCATCATCTTATATCTATACATAGATAGATAGATAGATAGTGTACTTGTTGTTTTTTAAAAAGTTGTCTTACTGTATGGCTGCTACCTTGGTCAGGTCTGTCTTGTAAAAGAGATTTTAATCTCAATGAGACTTCCTGGTAAAATAAAGGTAAATGAGATAGGTTCAAGGTTTCTTTATTAATACCTGAAAGTAAATTTGATAGATAGATAGATAGATAGATAGATAGATAGATCACAGTACTTTAGGACATTTGTTTTATATTACAAGTTATCTAATATGTTGTTTAAATGTGCAAATAAGGCATTATGTAATTACATAGGCACTCATTTGTATATATTTCCAGAACAGAAATCTGAAGTCAGGTTCAAAATACTTGTCTGATTTTGTTGACATACTAGAGTTAAAGATTTTTACTGAGGGGATTTTAGATTCCTCTTTTTATCACTCCATAAATCAGAAAATACTGTCAACAGACAGAAAACAAACACATTTTTGTCATTTTTTTAGGAATAATATGTCATATAAATCAGCCTGAGTGATATATGAACAAACCCCTCAGTAAAAACCTTCAGATTACAGAGAGGAATAAAACTCTAAGTTTTGGTGTTTGTAAGTGCTGCTGAAGTGGGAAAAAAAATCTCACAGTCTTTAAAAATATGTGTTTTCAGCATATTTTTAGGAATAAAATGTTATATAAATCAGTGTGAATGAAATATGAACAAACCCCTCTATAAAAACCTTCAGATTACAGAGAGGAATAAAACTTTAAGTTTTGGTGTTTGTAAGTAATGCTGAACTGGAGAAAAAACTTTTGAAGAAATGGATTGGAATTTAAATCAGAAGTCAATAGATAAATTGCAATAAAATAAACATTTGAATGTGTATTTAGGATGTTTTCTTTCTACTAGTCTGAAAGAACGCTTTATGAAAACCCAACAGCCCAAAGTCTCAAAATTGAGCAATGCATG